TTTTTTAAAAAAAATTAACTTTTTCAAGCTGTTTTTCAAACAAGGACCTGTGTCCTATGGTTCTTGGATGGCCTTTGATTGAAACGAGCCACGTGTTTATAACAAGCAGTGTGGAAGGAAGGTCTAAAGGTTAATATGGCAATAAGAGAGCAATATTGCTGAGTCAAAAGGAATAATCACCTATTACCATCCAGACTTCAAAGCTGGCAACGGGAGAGCCGCCATAGATTCTCCCAACCTCAAAGACTGATCATTTCCAAAACAGGGAGAATTAAACACAACAACATGAACAGCATTAAAAAAAGAAGAAGAAGTCAGCTCTCTATGGGCTTTATCTGTTTTGACCCCAGGACCCTCCAGCGGTTACCACGTTTGGGCCCCAAGAGTTTTGTGCAATGCCGGCTCTTAGAAGGAGTGGGAAAAAAGGGAGGATGCTGTAGTGTGCAAATATGATATTTTTGGACTCTGTTTCCCATTATCCCCCCACCCCCAGCAAAATTGGGTCTTGAAAAGCAACCAAGCTGTGCATCACAACAGCAGCCCTCGTAGGCGGATGTAGAAAACGGACCTCACTTAACCAGAGCGCCTTTTAAGTTAAACCAGACACATCATTTTCCTTTTGAGACATGCAATCTGCACTTAAAAGGCAGCGCTCTGTGCTGTCTATGTTATTCCACGTTCAGCAGAATTTGCTTCTGCTGAGCACGCTGACCTGGGAATCAGCGCCACGTTGTTGTTGTTGTTAGGTGATCCGATGAATGAGTGATCTCTAAAATGCCCTGTCTGTCGCAGCCCTGCTCAGCTCTTGCAAACCCGAGCTCGCAGCCCTGCTCAGCGCTTGCAAACCCAAGCCTGTGACTTCTATTAGGGAGTCGGTCCATCTCATATGTGGTCTTCCTCTTCTCCTGCTGCCTTCCTCCCATCTTTCCCAGCCTGACGGTCTTCTCCAGAGAACCCGGTCTTCTTGGGAGTGCCCAAAGTCGGACAGCCTGAGTCTCATCATTGTTATCTCCGGAGATCCTTCATCCTTGATTTGCTCCAGGACTCACTTGTTCATCTTTATGACAGTCCAGGGTCTCCTCAAAGCTCTCCCCCGGCACCAGTTTTCAAACAAATCCATTCCCCCCCCCTCAATCATCTTTCTTAAGGGTCCAGCTTTCACAAAAGATCATCAGTTCTGAGAATTAAAACAACGAAATGAGAATTTCTAATTGTCAAGGGGAACAACTTTACCACGCAGGCCTAGCTGAGCAGGCGTGGTGTATAGTGTGTGTGTTTTTTTTAATTCACCTTTAGCTGCTTTGTGGGTTGTTTGTTCAGTGGAAACGTGGGGGCAGAAAAGTCAATAAGCAAGCAGGCAAGCAAACCAATATGGCTTTTGGAAAGCAAGAATAAAGAAAAGATGCTACAATGAACCATATCGGCCCTGGCAGTCCCTAGCGTGTCTTGGTTGACCTCTTTGATGGGGCTGCTTTCTGACTTGCCCTCTGTGTGTGTGTGTGTGTGTGTGTGTGTGTAGGGGGGATTATCTCAGACTATAGTCTTCTGGATCCTATTCCCTACCGCTCAGCCGCTGATGAACAACTGTGCACCGATATACACTCAGAAATATACCTATATTTTGCATAAGCCCACCTTATACCTGTGAGCCCACTAAAAATAATCTCCCTCTTTCATCGCTGGTGGCGGCGGTAGGATCAGAGTGATCACAATCCAGTATTTGTAGGAGAAAACCAGGGTGCCACCCATGGGGTGGCTATAGTTAAGGCTTGGGCAGGCTGCATGTGGCCCCTGGACAGTGGGTTGCATCATTCCGAGATGCGTGTTCGGACTGCGGCTCCCAGAATCCTCAGCAGATGGATGCCACGCCTCTCTGCGGGTCTACTTTGATAGAAGTCTGAAGGTCTTTTTGCTACCAACTTAGACTGCCAGAGACATGTGACCCTCCCGATGGTTATGTACTACACAACCCATTTGCCCTAACTGGCATAAGTGATGGGAAGGGATTGTGGGAGTTTTATAAAATGTAAAAACAAGGGTCCCTGCCTCAAGGAGCATCCAGTCTAAGCCTAGGGAAAAAACGTGGCTTTAGAAAGAGATCAGCACAATTCAGAAGGACCTTCAGTTTTCATTTCTTCTTCCTGGTTTGTGTGCTTATCTATTATATTTAGACTCTGGCTTTCTTTCAAGGCACTTAAGACGACGTCCGTGGCCCTCCTCCACTTTAGTCTCACAACAAACCTGCCAGGTAGGCGACATTGAGAGATTATGGAATTAGCCCAAAGTCACCCACTGAGTGACATGGCTCAGTGGGGAACATGAAACCGGCTGTGGCATTCAAACCCAGTATTCCCTGACTGTCCTACCACGGATATCTTGGACTGCAATTCCCATCACCCTCCTGATTGGCGGTGGATGATGGGGTACTGTACCTCCACAGCAACAGACAGTGCCAGGTTGGGGAGCTGCTTTAGATCTTTGTGCCAGGGTGAGAGCACTTCCCTCCTTAGTTCAAAGGTAGGCAGCCAGAGGTCATAACCCCCCCTCAAGTCCACAGACAACCTCAAGTGGAATCAAGGTCCACAGCCAAAGATCCAGAGGTCCACGGTCCATGCCAGATGCCCCCCAAGCTACAGAGGAAAGCATAGCTTCACTGTTGTATGTGGTCAAGCAGGTTTGGTAGGTTTTTTTGAAGCCATGTTCAAACCTACCAAACCTGCTTACCAAAAGAAAAGAAAGAAAGAAAGAAAGAAAGAAAGAAAGAAAGAAAGAAAGAAAGAAAGAAAGAAAGAAAGAAAGAAAGAAAGAAAGAAAGAAAGAAAGAAAAATAGGGTGTCTTTACATCACTAGTGCTTAGAAAAGTTCCCCTTTTTAGTGGGAGGGATAGATTATAGGTACTTTCAAAGACAGTTTTCCAAGCTCTGCTCCTCAGCTAACTGGTTGTAAACAACCAACTTCTTCCCCTTTGGATTTAACGGAGGACAACTAGTGTAAAATAACAGCTAAGAAAGTGAAATGCTGTGCAAACGCTTGGTATGTATCTCAGATCTTCTCCTTTCCTGCACCCCACCCAGCCCTTCACATATGGGTTCATGGGAAGATGAACAAAATAATGTGGTTTTTTCCCCCATGCTTAGATCCCTCATAAAAGGGCATATAAGTGCAAAGTATTTTTCTTACATAACCTTGGATCTGGACTTTCCCGACTGGGGGCAAAGGATCTCATTGGAAGGCGAGCGTGCTGAAGATCACGGTGGAAGGCTGCCGTCCTGCGCACCCTTGATCAGGGAGGGAGCCTGGATGGAATTACAGTGTGGCTTACTCCTGAGTAAACAGACATAGGGTGGGGAGCCCAAGCCACTGGTTCCTCTCTCTTGCAAAAACTTCCAGCGGGGGAGGAGGGGGGGAGTCATTTGTATTTCTTTGAAGTTTTTATATATTTCTTATATATACTTTCTTTGAAGTGGAAATGACAAAGAGGCCAGTGACGCCCTGAAGGCAACACAGTTTAGTGGTTAGCCCCAGAGTCCAACCAAACTTAGTCTTGGGAGCTTCTCTCTCTGTGTGTGTCACCTTCATGAAATGCAGAATCTTCCAGTGGCCCACTCCAGGCAGTAGAAATTGCTTGGGGAGCAGCCAGGGGTATTTTGTGCTTCTTTGAAGATGATGGTTTTTTTAAAAAAGTGCCCAGCTAGATCCTGTGGCCTTTTCAACTTAAGAAAGTAGAAACCCTTTGCTATGAATGATGCCTTGATCTTCCTCTTAACATATTCACCGAGAATAACCCTTTTCTCAACAAATGGGGTTTACCTCCAAGTAAATTATTTATGCTTGAGGTCTAAAAGTTCATCAGTGCTGAAATTAAACATAAACGGTCTGGATACGTGTACGGCTGACATGCGTTACTAAGCCTGCTTCTAGTTTGTCCCTGGTTTTATTTTTTTATTATTTCTTTGTTAGTCTTAGTCAAAAATTGACCTGTTGTTTAGTTTTAAGGCATTTGTAACTGAATAAATAGATGTTGTCATTTATTACGGTTTACCCTTGCCTGTAAATTATTTATAACAGATGAAAATCATAAACCTTTCAAAGGACAAAAGGTCCCTCAATATATTTGGTTGTAATCCAAATATATACTATTGGACTTAATCCTTTTTTTAAAAAAGCCTGCTAGCAGGACTTTCTTTAATTGGGATAAATCATCACTGCTAACTCCAGGTTTCCTGCCTGTGGAACGGAAACCACTGTGGTCTCCTCCATGCAACAAAATTGTGGTTTTAAAACATAGTCTTTTTTGTAGAAATTGTGGATAATATGAGAATGGCTACAGGACGATATACTTTTATTTAGTAATATTACCAACCATATGGATATTCTGGCATATCTTATCAACAGTGTGTGTTTTGGAGGGGGTGGGTTGGATCTGGAGAGAGAGAGATAGATAATTAAATATCTCCTTAATTATCATTTCTCTCTTTTCTGTTTTTTTTTTTTTAATCTTAATACTGGAAGAATTCCTTTTTTCAATTTGCCGGCTGGAGATAGGGGTGACCTGTTTCTCTTATTTATGAAGTTTAGTATGTGTTTTTTTTCCCTTTACTTTTTTTAAAAAAAGTGTTACAATCTTTTTGAGATAAACGGCAGTCTGAAAAAGGGAGAAGGAGCTGAAATGAGCGAGAGATTCTTTCCGGCAGCCAAAAAATGTGGACATGGATTACAATTAGCTTCATATCCCCAGCGAAAGGGACAAGAATGTCTGGGTGGGAATCTATGTACAGTATTTGTATCATATTTCAATATATTTCTTTGCTAAAATCCTGGTAGGGCAAGAGGTTCTGAAAGAAACTGAATTTATTTGAAATGCTGTAAATGATCAATTGTAATTGACCACCCAGTTCTACACCCAGGAAATTAAGAGGATTTCCTATAAACTGTAAGATAATTTTCTTTCTTTCTTTCTTTCTTTCTTTCTTTCTTTCTGGGAAATGTACTTCTTTCATCAGAAGGGAGGATATTATGAAACCAGCGGAACGAAAAGAAAAGAAGGAACGTAAAATAGAGGTTCCTAATTAGAATAAAAGGTTGTAATAACGAATTAGGAATACAGCTGTTGGCTTGAATCGTCGAATCTTCGGAAATCCGTTCCACTGAGTTGATCGGAAATTTATCCCGTGGAAAAATGAACAAGGTAAGGTGAGAAAAAAGCACAGCCTAAGAATTATATTCCGGCAGCCCGGTTCTATGGTCTCACCTAAGTTATATCCAACTGATGCTATGAAATCTTATAAGTAAAGAGCGACTCGTATTTTCCTTGAACTAAGCCTTTACGCTCCTGTCGTTATGCAGAGAATCAGGCATATTGATCAGTCATATCACAAGAAGATCATTTTAAAAATAATACTGAATATGATCAATTACCTTTTACCAGCATGGAGCATTAATTAGAAGAGGCGCTGAAAACAAACTAAAGATGGCAATTTTTTCTTTCTTTCTGAGCATGCCAATATAAAATTAAGCTATTGGTGAAATATGAAATGCCTTCGAAGAACAGGCTCGGCGTGAAGTAGAAAATACTGTTTTCTTAGGTATGCGATGTAACGTTTGTTCAGACCAAATATGTCCACCGTACCTGCGTTTTGGAAAGAAAAATATCTCTTATTTTTTTTCCACGGGAGTGTAATGGAAAACAACGGCCGATAACCCGACCACATTCGCCTCCCCTCGAAAACTATTCCCAAACTTTGTTTGTTATCATTTAAGAAGTAACGATGTCCAAATAATTCGGGGTAGAATTCTGTACCACGGCAAAGGCTGGCCCAGTTAGTATGGCATAAATGTTTCTGATCCCTAAAAGTTTCATAAAAACTTGTGCCATAATAAATCGGGTTGTGTTTAAGGTGTCACAGAATTCCTCGTAATTTGTGAAGGAAGCAAACTTCATTTGGGAGTTCGTTTTTAAAGGCTGGTGTTTTTGTTTTTGTTTTCTCCCCAAAGCGCAACAGAAAAGTATTAACATCGGAAATCTTCGGGGAAAAAGGAAACAGTTGGAATTTACTGAATACGGTTGAGAAAACTCCCCGCATGCAGTTGCGGGGCGAAAACTGTGCTACCCCATGTAAAGAAGAGGGGAGTTAAATTTTAGCTAGTAAGAAAGGAATCGAAGAAATAGACGTAAAACTGGAAGAAGGAGCCGAAGGCGCTGATCAGGAGACAGAAACGAAACAGGCAGAAATCCTGATTTTGTGTCTTATTTTTTTTCCCCTGGAGCAAAATCGAATTGGATTTTGGAGTTAAACGGGGCGAGGCTGAGAATCGGGACCTTTGATTCCCACGGGAAAATGAACCTTGGTTTTCTAACGTCTTCCCTCCTTCCTTCCCTCCCTCTGTTTTTGGAATAAAATTCCAGACGCCTTGGTTTAATATATATATTTATTTCTACGTGGATTTGCGTTGACCGATCAGAGGAAGAAAGAACAGGCGCATCATTTCTCAGAGAGAGGTGGATGATATAGATAATAAGCTTTTATTTTATTTTTTCGCCCGAGAAAGCAAGCCCAGGTCGCTTAAACCTAGCCGTTTGGACCGACGCCCGTGTAACGTGGGAATACGTCTGCTTGCAAACACGTGTACTCCAGAGAGGGGGGAAAAACTGTCCACGGGGTGAATAAGAGGGTGGTCAATCTTCTTCGGACGAAATGGGAACGTCAGGGTTTGCTCCCTCGTCGAGGCCCATCCGCTCCTCGCTTCCTCGCGAGTAAGGCGGTGCCCTCTTAAGCTGCTTTAGGAGCGGCTCGGCGCCCGGGGTGAATCCAGAGGGATCGCCTCGTGATGCAGGATCTGTCCCAGCGAATTCCACGGGATTTCCTTTTGCTGGGGGAAGCAAAATCCCAAACTTGGCTGGCAGCTTTTTGTTTGAACGCCGTTCGGCTTCTCAAAAAAATCAAATATTTAGCATCAGGGTGTCAACATGTTTCTCTGTCATAAGGCTTTTCTTAAAAAGAAAAGAAAAGAAAATACAGTAAACCTAACAAAGCACCAAATCAGATCTTATCCGGAGCTATTCAAGTTTCCTCTTTCACAATCTAGCTTTGCTTTGTTTATTTTATTGTTTTTAACTAATCCCTAGTTTATTATGCGTGCTTGTGAGTGTCACGTGTATCCTAATAAAGTGGATTATTAACAAGACGGAGAAAAGTTTCCTTCCTTGAAATAACGTTTTCGGCCAGGGTAGCAAAGCCATTCTCTGAAGACACACGGAACGGGTTGCAACTTGATTCTCAATCAAAAGCACATCAGATTACAGCGCACGTACCTCGGGAAAATTTTACTTTTTTGGACCAGAACTTACTAGAATCCCATAACCAGAGTATCATTTTCTGTTCTGAGGTCTCCAATCTTATTTTTAAAAACCCCATTTAAAACCTTTTCCCATTTATGGTAAAAAAAAAAAATATGATGCAAACATCTGGTATATAATATCTGTGTCATCAGGCAACTCTCCATGGCTCTGAAGAAGCGTGCTGTAGCTCACCAAAGCTTACACCAAATGAAACAGTATTCGAAGATGCCGCGAGAATCTTCCTTGTAACCAGCACCCCAGGCAAAAAAAATGAGTCAAGAATACAGTACTTTTATTAATAAAACTAACGATGAGCCGTCAGGTCAATTTCTAATGGGAGGAAAAAGCTAGATTTGGAGTTTTGTCTTCCAAACTGGACATGGCAGGCGGAGAGACAGAAAATAGCATGATATCCTGGCCGAAGGTTGAGGCTTCGGGATCTTCAAAATAAGATCCCAGATCGGAGGCTACAGGACTGTAGAGCCAGTTCCAACTACAGTATCAGGAATTTTGGTTTCTTAACATACAATCATAGAATAATGGAGGCCATTAAGTCCACACACACACCCCACCCTCACCCCTCAGTGCAAGGATCCAAATCAAAGCAGATCTGACAGACGGTTACCCAATGTTCTCTTGAAGGCCTCCAGAACTGGAGCACTCATCATCTCCCCTTAAGGTCATGGGTTCCCTTGTCGTACTACTCTAACAGTTAAGAAGCTTTTCCTGATATTCAGCTTAAATCTGGCTCCCTGTAGCTTGAGCCCATTATGTTGTGTCCTGCACTCAAGGATGATGGAGAACAGATCCTGCCCCTCTGTTGTACAAATAACTACCTTTCAAGTCTTTGAAAAGCACTATCCTATCTCCCTTCGGTCTTCTTTTCCTCAAGGCTAAACATGCCCAGTTCTTTCAGTCTTTCCTCCTCCGACTTGCCCTGCTGTGAACATTATCTTTCCCAGGAAATCAAAGCATCCCCTTCTTTCTAGCTGCCATCCCATAATATATTCCTGGGTGGGTTTTTTCCCCTTTGTTTGCTTGCAGGTTGTACAAACCACTTTTCCCTACAGGCTCTTGAGGCAATATGTGAGAAAAGTAACTACACACATTTTTTCAAAAAAACAGTTAATCTGCACTAGGGACTAACAGCAAATGGAATCTCAGTAGAATTTAATGGCTTAAACCTTTGTTTTATGACATTTCTACATTTCCTGAATAGCCAGCCCAAAAAGACAGCAGGATATGTGTTTCGTAATGACCACACAATCCAATCTGTGTCTACTCAGAAAGTCTCTGCCATGGAGACTTACTCCCAGGCTGCGATCCTTTAACAATTTCCTAGGAGTAAGTTCCATGAAACTTAGAAACTGAACTGTAAATCAAATTTCAAATGTAGGAAAGGCTTAAATTTTACACGTATCAAGTCACTTCTGACTTAAAATAACTCAATGAATTAATGACTTTACCGGGATCTATACTTAATAGCTCTACCCAGGTTTGGCAACCTCAAGCCCATGGCTTCTATTACTAAGTTGATCCATCTTATAGTAGGTCTCCCTCTTTTCCTTCTACTTATCCCAGCATTATTTTCTATTCCAGCGAGTTTTGCCTTCTCATGACATACCAAACATCATGATATTGCGTATATCATGATACCGTAGCCTTAGATTAGTCATTTTAGCTTTTGATCATGAACTAATGTATTCGTCTTTATGGTGTTCCATGGTATCTATAAAGCTCTTCTCCAAAACCACATTTTGAATAAATTACTTCAGCTTTCTTTACTGTTCAACTTTCACACCCATAGATTGCAACTAGGAATAATATACCATGGATAACATTTGAGGGTTAAAAGCTGCCCTTCCAAGTCTCAATTATCTTTCATTTCCTATGCTGCAGTCTGCATTTAGATAGACATCGTACATGGCTTTACCATTATGAAATAAACTGAATGCATCACTTTGCTTCCATGTGAAAGTCCAGCGGGCACTACAAACCTTGGTGTTTCTTATCTTTGAGATATGCATGTTGGATATTTTCAGTCTGTGGGCCATGATTTCATTTTCCCATATTGGTTGATATAAGCTTGTTGGAATTCCAATAAAGTCAATCTTCATAGCTTGAAATAACTCTATTGGCACCCCATCTGTTGCTGGTGATTTTTCCTTCCAATTGTTCTAACAGCAGCTTTCATTTCACTTTCTAAAACTCCATGTTTTTAATGCAGGAAGGAATCTGACATCTTTCCGTCTTTTCTGTCTAGTTCTTCAGTACAGTACTGTTTTTCACCAAAGGAAGAGGAAGGAATCTGACATCTTTCCATCTTTTCTGTCTAGTTCTTCAGTACAGTACATTGTTTCAATCTTCCCTTGATTTTATCTTGATATAACGTATCCCATTGGGGAACTTGCAGCATTCTGAGTCCTATGTTTCAAATTTCCTTTGATTTATTGGATTTTACAGAAGACATTTTGTTTTGTTTTTTACCTTCCCCCCCTTTCTCTTTTTTTTCCCCTTGCAAACATTAGCATAACATTTCTTTTTAACCCTCTGTACAAGTCAATGGAAAGTTGCCTTTACGATTCTGACCTCATTTTATTGCACTTCACTTCTGCTTTTTGCCAGTCATAAGCACAAGATTTACATAATCTGAAGAGAAACAAGAATAGCACTTGTAAGAGTTTCATGAGTCATCCACTGAGGCTTTTCTGTTCTTTTGACTCCGGGGCTACTGTTTTTGCAAATGTTTAACTAAATGCTGCCGTGCAGATGTTTAAATAAGAGTTATCTGCCAAATATAAAGCAGTTCTTACAGCATTTATATGAATACTTTTACCCATGTAAAACTGGCAAAAATGCCAGGCACCACATTAAAATCTATCTCAGCATTAAACTGGAGACTTTCCCATTCTTAGCCATCAATCTATTAAAAATTAAGTCTTTGATTCTAAATAGAATTTAACACATTTTGTGTGTGTGGGGGGGGGAAGGACTACAAATCCCAGCATGCTACAGGCAACACAGCTCTACTGGTTGAAAGATTCTGGGACTTCTAATCCAAATTAAATAAAACTGTAACTATTCCATAAACTGCTTCTGACCAAATAAGTTTTTCCACACCTTACAAGTCTCTTCCAGGTACACGTGGTGAAGGTTTGGGTGGCGACCAGATTTTCATGGGACACCCAAACACATTTAAAGCTCTTGTGATTAAATGAACTGGGGAGAACACAGGCTTGGTGCAGTATTCAGACCATCTTTTTTTGTATGCTCAAATCAAGGAGCCACTTCAGAAGACTTGATCTGATCTATTTTCGGAAGTTGCAGGACACTGCTTAACCATCTCTGCCTTTGGCTTCAATTTGAACTCAGGTTCGGCATCATCCCTCAGCAGGGATCTCGACAGAGTTTCGCTGAGGTGTTCTGGCCATTCGTGGCTCTACCTTCCTCACAATCCTCAAAAGCCTCAGCATGTCAAACCGAGTTCTGAGTTCCTTCATTCCCAACCATGCAGGTCTTAATGGAGCTTCTTTTTAACAACAAATCTTTGAACAGATAAAATAGAAATATCTAAACAACCATGCTTTCGTACACCCTTGTTTTATTCTTTTCCTATTTTTCCCCTTGTTCTTCAGCTCATAATAGTGATCTTCCTTCCTTCCTTCCTTCCTTC